ATCAGGTGAGAATCACACCTGCTGCTCTTACTGTAACATCTGCCTCTTCTCCTCCCTGCCTGTGCCCAACTCACACAGGGCTTCAGTTAGTGACCCAGGTAGGTGAGGTCTTTTTCCCCACTCTCCACCTGAGTGGCTCCTTTTTATCCTTCAGGTCTCACCTTAGATATCCCCATGACAGAGAAACCTTGCCTGAATCCACTGTATATATCTCTGTGCTCAACAGATATTCTCTGTCCTCAACAGATATTCTCTGTCATACCATTTTATTTCTTGTATTTATAAAATTTACCATAAACTGTAGTTGTTTTCTTCATTTTTTGGCTATCTGTAAGCTTCATGAGAAAAAGGAATATAACTGCTTTGCTCAATATTGTATCTTAGGGCACAACACAGATGATTAATAAATATGTGTTAAAGAAAAAAAATAGATGAGAAAGAAGCTTATAAAACTGAGAAATTGTTTTAAATGAACTTCTAGCTGAGCTCTGTAGACCTATTGTAGTTAAAGACTTCTGTGTTTCCATGAGCAACTCACAATTTCATACAGGTAGTGACTTCCCCACCACCTCCAGTAACTATAAAAGAATACTGTAATCTACAGAATAGTCCATAGGGAACTCAGTTTTATAATCTGAAAAAACTTAAAAGTTGAAACTTTGCCCAGTCTATAAGACTTTAGGTTATTTATTACATTGTACATTTGGTTTTTGCAGCCAAAGTCTCCTTCATGAAAAGAAAACGTTTTGAATTCTAGTTGAGAATAACGAATATGTAAACGGACAAGGCATCACATATTGGCCTCTTGCCCTGTTTAAAAGGGGTGAAAATGGAAGTAGCTAAGCTGCAAAGTGTCCTCTGTGTGTGAATAATGTTGACACATAAAACAAATGTCTGAAGTGCTTCACAAATGGCACTGTTGTTCCAAAGCATTGTTCACAGTTGTTCCACTATTAATTTAGGATGAATAGTCTAAATGGTGGGTAAGATTTTTAATTTTTATTTGTATTAATAGTTTCACTTTATTCAAAGGGGCTATTATCAAGTATTCTCTGTTAATCATGTGTACTTCTAATGGCTTTCTGTGATACTAAATAAGACTTTCCTGTGGGCTACCATTGCACTTTTACTAAATAGTTTAGCATCTAGTTAAAAACCAGGAATAAAAGAGTACTAAGATTGTGTCACAAACTCTTAGGCAAATGACAGTTGTTGAGAGCATGTTTCACTATCTCTTAAGTGATTACTTCTTATTGATCAACCCCCTTCTTCTGGGTGTTATAGGGAACTCAGTATCGGGTCATTTTTATGATTGACCATCAGTACCACATGCTACTTTTACCCACATCTAATGGATCCTTCCTCTTGGTGGTAGAATTATTTGTGGGTTCTCTTCAGACACAATGTAAAAGTTCTGAAACAACTCCTAAGTGTCTCTAGCATTTAAAAAAAATAGCTGCTACCACATATATTACTATTTTGTGCGTCTTATCACTGCATTTTTTAAAGAGCTATATGGAAGGTATTTTGAATACTTTGTCTCAGAGATGTCAAAATAACTTTCCTAGGACACAAAGTTAGTAGGAGGTAGAACCAAAATTGAGAAATTGGTATGTCTGGCTCCCAAAGTTCTCTCCTCTGATTCAGACTTTCTAATTTTGGATATTTACATTGAGCAGAGTGCACATTATTGTGCTCTGGACCTCCTACTTTGATATTTATTAGTGTAGTAGTTAGAAACCTGTTGCTTGGGTTTGAATTCCTACTCTGACATTTCTGAGGTTTGTGACTTTGAGCAAATTATTTTAACTCTCAGTACCTGACATTTCTTATCTAGCTTATTAGATAATTGTGAGAATTAAATGAAATAATGTAAAAGACTTAGAATAGGTGTACTTATTTATTGTTGATCTTTTTATGTATTGTAATACATCAGTTTTCTCTAAGCACTCTTGGAATCTCCAGCTAATGCTTTGTTTTTAGTTAATGCAATCATTGTAAGTGATTTTTAGATGTGTAATTTTGCTGACAATATAAATAAGTTTCTAACTTTATAATTTTTATGATAATCTATACTCTTAAGCGTGCCTTAAACAGAGGAGTTAATACAAAGTGTTGAGAAAGGGATGAAGCTGGAGCTACACCTAGGTAAGGAGTATTCCCCAAACCTCTGTACCATGAAACTGGATTTGTAAAAGATAAAAATGATCATCATTATCTCATTATATAAACTCTTAAAGATTTTTCTTTTGCTACTTTTTCATTCACCTGTTTAAAGATATTTATTGAATATTTTGCTGTGACATCCACTATTCCACATGCTGATTTAAACACAATAAAAAGAAAACAAAAAAATAAAATTTAAGAAAGCAACCAAAAAAATTCACTCTTTTGGAGCTTAAATTCTAGTAGGGCAGAAAGATAAGAAGTAAGTGATATTATACATTGGAAAATGATAATTACTTTTAAAAAGTAAGCAGGGAGGGAATGTTAGCAGCAGTGAATCCATATCGGCCTGCAGCAACTCGATTCTTGCCTCCTCGGAGAAAAGGATTTGGCCAGAGGATGGTAACGCAGAGTGAGAGATCTATGCAAGTTTTAGAGCAGGAATGGGAGTTTATTAAAATGTTTTAGAGCAGGAATGAAAGGAAGTTAAGTACACTTGTAAGAGGGCCACACGGGCAACTTGACAGGGTCAAGTGTGCTGTCTGGCCTTTGACTTGGGCCTGTATACATTGCTGTGGTTCTGGGGTTTGCATTTCTTCTTACCTGATTTTTCCTTGGGGCAGGCTATCTGCATGTGCGGTGGCCTGCCAGCACTTGAGAGGGATTTCTTATGTAGTGTGTTTACTGAAGTTGTGAATGTGCTCATTGGGGTCATTTTTTTTTCTTAACAGTTGAGAAAGAAGGTTATATAAGGTCTTACTAGAAGAAGGTCATGTAACAGTTAAACTCTGCTATTTTGCCTCCTAGTATGCATACGTGAGCCAGCTGACACAATTCTTGAAATCTTATCAGGAAGCCACTGATCACTAACTTCAGGTGTTTTCTATTTAGGAGACGTCCTTTCCCTGGCACCAGCTGCTACCAGTTAAATTATTTTAGACAGTTTAACAACTACCTGACCATCACCTGATGGTCACCTGACATTGCTGGGAGTCAGGGAGTACCTTCTCCTGCCCTCTCTTGTCTGCCTAGCTACCTACTCAAACAGGAGAAGAGGGAAAACCAAGGGATACTGGTGATAGGAGGGGGTGTTGGATTTTTAAGTGGGATAATCTGGGAAACTCTTGTGAAGATGGTGACATCTGAGCAAAGATTTCAAGGTCATTTAGGTGAACCATGTGAATAGATACCTGAGAAAAGAGCCAGGGCAGAGAGGATCAAAAAGAAAAGCTCTGGAGTAGGAATATACCTGGCACTGTCAGGGGTTAGCAATAAGACCTGTGTGACTGAACTAGAGAAATCAAGGAGGATGGTAGTGGGAGATGAGATCAAAGACAAAGATGAGATTAAAGTGAGCCATACTGGGTGGGGTCTTTTAGGTCAAAGTAGTAATTTTGGTTTTGACTCTGAATGAGATGAAGAGCCAATTCATGTTAAGAGCAGTAACCATCATTTGCCTGATGTAACAGGATTTGGCTGCTATATTGAGAATAGACTTTAGACACAGGCAGTGGTGGAAGCAGGGAGATCTTGTTAGGAGGTGGTTGTAATCCAGGTGAGAGAAGATGGTGTCTCAGTTGGTAAAAGTGCTGGTGGTGATCTGTGAAACATTAGAAATTAGCTATAGGCCGAGGCGGGTGGATCACGAGGTCAACAGATCGAGACCATCCTGGTCAACATGGTGAAACCCCGTCTCTACTAAAAATTCCAAAAAGTAGCTGGGCACGGTGGCGCGTGCCTGTAATCCCAGCTACTCAGGAGGCTGAGGCAGGAGAATTGCCTGAACCCAGGGGGCGGAGGTTGCGGTGAGCCGAGATTGCGCCATTGCACTCCAGCCTGGGTAACAAGAGCGAAACTCCGTCTCAAAAAAAAAGAAATTAGCTATAAATTTGCTGACAGATCTGTAGGGGATGTTAGACAAAGAGAGACTCTTGCTTTTTACTTTTCTTTCTTACCAAATGCAAGTCATAATTTTTATTTTATGCAATATAAATAAAACCATTTTTACCAGCCCTAAAGTTTCTCCTCTTAGTTTACTGGGGATTTTACTTCACTCTGCAGGAAATCCAGCACGTTGTAATTGAAATTACTGATGCTACACAGAGTGGGAATTACTGGTGCTAAACAATCATTTTATTAGTTTAAACCAGGACTCAGCAAATTATGGCCCAAAAACCAAATCTGGCTCATTGCCTGTTTTTGTAAATAAAGTTTTATTCAGACACATTCATACCTATTTATTTGCATATTATCTAGGGCAGCTTTCTGCTACAAAGGCAAAGGATCTTAGAGATCCATAGAGACTAAAATATTTACTATCTGGCCCTTTAATGAAAAAGTTTGCTGGCCCTTGGTTTATACCGCTATGAGTTATATAAAATTTTTCCTCTTAGCTTTTTCTGGTCATTCAGAATGTTTAAATATGAAAACAAAAATTAAAAAGGGGCGTGAAATGATATTAGAACCAAGAGGTACTGTTCAAATACTAACATCAACTTTTTCCTCTATGTTAATCTATTCATTCGTTTGCTTTGCATATTCACTTTCCTCCAGATCTCTGTAGTGCTCTGTCTGTGTTGGGAAACAAGTGCAGCTGACTGGCTTAAACAAAAAAAGTATATTTTCTCAACAGTGAAAATTTACTATAGGAATGAATATTGGATGTTAAGAGACTAATTTTTGAATTTCATAACCTTGATAGAAAATAAAAGATGAGTACTAGCATCAATTGAGCATCAATCTTTATGAAGAATTTGGCATTTTTCTTAAGACTTTCTGTAATCCAGTGAAGCAGTACAAATAAGTTAGACCTCCAATGTTGTTTGGTTTAACAGGTCAATAATGACGGATCTATACTACCTCAGTCAGACAGATGGAGCAGGTGATTGGCGGGAAAAAGAGGCCAAAGATCTGACAGCACTGGTCCAGCGGAGAATAACATACCTTCAGGTAAGAAGGTTGGGTTAAGAATAAATTGGAGTGAAAAAAAGAAGGATTGTCATATAACTAAGAGTAATAATTTCAGTTAGGTTTTAGTCTTCCTGGCCCTTGCCTTTTGAAAATAATTACTTACACATTTTACATATTTATTCAGAAAGTCACTATGTTATGCCTTGAGTGGAATACAAAGATGGCTAAAACAAAGACCCTGTCCTAAAGGGAGCTACTTTTTACACACACGCAATACAGAACAAATATAGCTTGCTACCTTTTTTTTATAGGAGACAAACAGATGAAATGCTTGTTGGAGTGTTGAGTAAGGAGACATCAGGGATAGTTTTGTGGATAATGTATGGTTTGAACAGAACTATAAAAGATAGTTAAGTAGGATTTGGACATACAGAAATGAAGGAAAAGGATGTACCAGCTGGAGGTTATCATGTAAGCAGTGGCTTGTAACTGCGAAAGAACAGTACAGAAACTCATATGATAAGTGTGGCAATTCATATTGACTGGAATTTTAGCTTGTGTGATAGGAGGGATGGAAAATACGTTGGAAAGGTAGGCTTGGAAACAGATTACAGAGGTTAAGTTTAATGGTACATAAACAGTAAGTGGTCACTGAAAGATTTTATTTGCTTTATAAATGTTACTATAACAAATAGTAAGTTTTGGTAAACATCAAGTCTCAGTCCCTTTTAAATTAATTTCTCCTAATTTTTTGTGTTCTTTTCTAGTTCTTATTAATATGCACACACCATCTTACATATTTGTAAGGAAATAATTTCTAAGCATCTTTCTATTTTGGAGTCACAGCCTGCTTTTGAAAGGTTTTACATATAATAGTGGTATGATGAGAGTGGTACTTAAGTGATGTTAATTTGAAAGTAGTATTTTAGTTGAACTTGATTATTTGAAGAGACTAGAAGCAGGGAGACCATTTAAGAGGACCATAGTGCAGGTAAAAAGTATTAAGGTATGTGGCAGTTTGCATTGGAAGTGAAGAGACAAATTTGAGAGAGATTGAGAAGATAAAATTGATAGGCCTTTCCAAATAGATGAAAGAACTAAAATGGCTGGGGTAATGGAAACATCATTATCTGATGAGGCACTGAGAGACGGAATAGTTTTCAAGGGAAAACAATGAATCAGTAAATCTTCAAATCTCAAAAATGTTTGAAGTTGACATGACCATGGAACATCCCCCACCCTCATCCTTTTCTAATGCTGTGGATGGCATGCTGTCTGTGTATGTTCTACTTTCCCTGTAAGATTAAAGTGTTGTATAAAAGTAAAAGGACAACCAGTGATGTGGTTCTGTGTATTTTAAGGTGCACATTTTTCTACCTTTAAATAGGAAAAAATAGAAAATCAAGTGTTTAAAGATATCATTAAAAACCAAACTGATCTTGGCATGCTGTCTTGGTCTCATATGCACATGGCCATTCATCAGAGGTGTCTGCAGAATGAGAAACACTTCACCTCCTGTAGGGAAGAGGTAATGATCTCCTATCAACTAGAACCTCATTCAGTGAACTATAAACAGCTGGTGGTGCAGAACCATCATCCTTATTTAAAATGGAAATAACTGTGGTTTCTGAACTTCCTCCGTTTCCTCATTTTCACTAAATTTTCCACCAACTATATTTAAACTGTGACCTGGTGATAGTTCAGTTACCTAAACGGTAATAAGTACCTGCCATCTGTTTTAGTTTCTTTTCTCTTTCTCTTGGTTTTTAGGTAGCCAAGTACTTTCACCTGTAGTGCTGATTTGATCCTCTATATGCTGATTTTTTTGGTTCTATATTAGAGAATTTCACTTGCAAATCTTGCTAATGATTTAAAGCTACATTGGCTTTTTAAATCTTTTCAACTATAGCAAAACCTAGCACTTTACTTGGACCTTAACTTCAGTTTCAGATATTGCTATTTAACAAGTTATTACTTTCATGCTTTTCCTTTGCCCTGCATTCCCCATTGGGAGGAAAAGGTAATTCTTTAATAACCAAGGAGATGGGGAAAATCTCAGTAGGAAAAATGTGCATTGGAAAAGTATTTTTCTTTTTTTTTCCCATAGGTTATTGGGATACAGGCGGTATTTGATTACATGAGTAAATTCTTTAGTGGTGCTTTGTGAGATTTTGGGGTGCCTATCACCCAAGCAGTATACACTGCACCATATTTATGGTCTTTTATCCCTCACTCCCCTTGCACCCACACCTCCAAGTTCCTAAAGTTCATTGTATCATTCTTATGCCTTTGTCTCCTCATAGCTTAGCTCCCACATATCAGTGAGAACATACAGTGTTTGGTTATCTATTCCTGAGTTACTTCATTTTGAATAATAATCTCCAGTCTCATCCAGGTCACTGCAAATGCCATTAATTCATTCCTTTTTATGGTCGAGTAGTATTCCATCGTGTGTGTGTGTGTGTGTGTGTGTGTGTGTGTGTGTACATGTATACACACGACAGTTTCTTTATTAATTTGTTGATTGATGGGCATTTGGGTTGGTTCCACAATTTTGCAATTGTGAATTGTGCTGCTGTAAACATGTGTGTGCAAGTATCTTTTTCTTTCTTTCTTTCTTTTTCTTTTTTTTTGAGACGGAGTTTCGCTCTTTTCACCCAGGCTGGAGTGCAATGGCGCGATCTCGGCTCACCGTAACCTCCGCCTCCTGGGTTCAGGCAATTCTCCTGCCTCAGCCTCCTGAGTAGCTGGGATTACAGGCATGCGCCACCATGCCCAGCTAATTTTTTGTATTTTTAGTAGAGACGGGGTTTCACCATGTTGACCAGAATGGTCTCGATCTCTTGACCTCGTGATCCACCCGCCTCGGCCTCCCAAAGTGCTGGGATTACAGGCTTGAGCCAGCAAGTATCTTTTTCATATAACAACTTCTTTTACTGAGTAGAAACCCAGTAGTGGGATTGCTGGATCAAATGGTATTTCTACTTTTAGTTCTTAAAGGAATCTTCACACTGTTTTCTTTAGTGGCTGTGCTAGTTACATTCCCACCAGCAGTGTTGAAGTGTTCCCTAATCACTGTATCCACGCCAACATGTACTGTTTTTTGATTTTTTGATAATGGCCATTCTTACAGGAATAAGGTGGTATCACTTTGTGATTTTGGTTTGCATTTCCCTGATTCTTAGCAATGTTGAGCATTTTCCCATGTTTGTTCGTCATTTATAGATCTTCTTTTGAGAATTATCTATTCATATCCTTAGCCCACTTTTTGATGGGATTGTTTTTTCCTTACTGATTTCTTTGAGTTCTTTGTAGAATCTGTATAGTAGTCCTTTGTCAGATGCATAGTTGGCAAAGATTTTTTTTCCTGCTCTGTGGGTTGTGTGTTTACTCTGCTGACTGTTCCTTTTACTGTTCAAAAGCTCTTTAGTTTAATTACGTCCCAGCTATTTATCTTTATTTTTATTGCATTTGCTTTTGGGTTCTTGGTGATAAAATCCTTGGCTATGCCAGTGTGTAGAAGCGTTCTTTCAGTGTTACCTTCTAGAATTTTTATAGTTTCAGGTCTTAGATTTAAGTCCTTAATCCATCCTTAGTTGATTTTTGTGTAAGGTGAGAGATGAGGATCCATCTCTTTTACATGTGACTAGCCAGTTATCCCAGCACTATTTGTTGAAAAGTGTGTCCTTTCCCCACTGTAAGTTTTTGTTTGCTTTGTTGAAGATCAGTTGGCTGTAAGTATTTGGCTGTAAATAAATATGTGGGTTATCTATTCTGTTGGTCAATGTTGTGCCTAAAATAGGCACATTGGTCTTTGTGCCTATTTTATACCAGTACCGTGCTGTTTGGGGGACTATGGCCTCATAGTATAGTTGGAAATCAGGTAGTGTGATGCCTCCAGATGTGTTCTTTTTGCTTAGTCTTGTTTGGCTATGCGGACTCTTTTTTGGTTCCATAAGAATTTTAGAATTGTTTTTTCTAATTCTGTAAAGAATGATGGTGGTATTTTGATGGGGATTGCGTTAAATTTGTCAATTGCATTTGGCAGTATGATCAGTATAACAATATTGATTCTACCCATCCATGAGCATAGATGGGTAGATGAGTTTCCATTTGTTTGTGTCGTCTGTGTTTTCTTTCAGTGCTATTTTGTAGTTTTCCTTGTAGAGGTCTTTTGCCTTCTTGGTTAGGTATATTCCCATGTATTTTATTTTCTTTTTTGCAGTTATTATAAAAGGGGTTGAGTTCTTGAATTGACTCTCTACTTGGTCACTGTTGGTATATAGAAGAGCTACTAATTTGTGTATGTTAATGTATCCGGAAATTTCGCAGAATTGTTTTATCACTTCTAGGAGCTTTCTGGAGGAGACTTTAGGGTTTTCAAGGGTTTTCAATCATATTGTCAGCAAACAGTGACAGTTTGACTTCTTTACTGATTTGGATGCCCTTTATTTCTTTCTCTTGTCTGATTGCTCTGGCTAGGACTTCTAGTACTATGACAAAGAGGAGTGATGAGAGTGGACATCCTTGTCTTGTTCTAGTTCTCAGAGGGAATGCTTTCAACTTTTCTCCATTTAGTTTTAAGTTGGCTGTGGGTTTGTCATAGATGGTTTTTATTACATTAAAGTATGTCCGCTGTATGCCAATTTTGCTGAAAGTTTTAATCATAAAGGCATGCTGGATTTTGTGAATGCTTTTTCTGCATGTATTGAGATGCTCATGTGATTTTTATTTTAAATTCTGTTTATTTGGTGTATTACATTTATTGACTTGTGTATGTTAAACCATCCCTGCATCCCTAGTGTGAAACCCACTTGAACATGGTGGATTATCTATCTTTTTGATATGTTGTTGGATTCGGTTAGCTAGTATTTTGTTAAAGATTTTAAGTGTCTATTTTCATCAGATATCAGTCTATGGTTTTATTTTTTGGTTTTGTCCTTTCCTTGTTTTGGTATTAGGGTGATGCTGGCTTCAGAGAATGAATTAGGGAGGGTATCCTCTTTCTCTGTCTTGTGGAATAGTATCAAAAGGATTGG